ATACAAACTCGACGATAATCTCAGTTAAAGTTCAGTCGGAGGCTCGACTCGGAGATCGAGGCGGTCTTTCGCAGGTGATGCAACGATGGTAATCTCGGCGATAATAATTCGCGAAATCGCGAGGGGCCACGATCCCGGCCGCGCAACTCATCGAAACGAGGCAAATCGTCGTCGATACCGATCGGCTTCTCCTCGACGAAGATTCGCGAGCATCCGCGAACGCCGGCCCGAGAGAGAGAGAGAGAGAGAGAGAGAGAGAGAGAGAGAGGGAGAGATCGGCAGCGAGAAATCTACGTGACGGCATTAGGCTGCGATTTCGCTCGATTCCGCTGTATAAATTGCCCTTGTAAATTCCCCCCGCGGTGCAGAAACATTCCCATAAGATCTCGATCGGATTACGTCGATTTATTCCCTCACTTTGTTGCGGCCCTGTTTCCACCCTAGAGATGCTTTCCTGCATCTCGTTCCCGTTCGTGGGATGCGCCCGCGATTTGTCTCGGTAAAATCGCGCCCGCGCCGGTGAGACGGAGTGGTAAAAGGGAAACGGGCTGAAACGTATATCGCGCCGATGAAACGTTCGCCACTGATGACTTCCAGCGGGGCAAGTCTTTACGGCAAGTCTCGGTAACGCCAACTTTGTTTCAAATTGTTGCGCAAAGTGCGCGCACTGCGTCGTTACAGTCACTGTAAATTGTAACTGTGTAAAATAAAGGAAACGTATGTGTGCAGAGAAAACGAGAGAGAGAGAGAGAGAGAGAGAGAGAGAGAGAGAGAGAGAGAGAGAGAGAGAGAAAGAGAGAGAGGGAGGGAGGGAGAGAGAGAGAGAGAGAGAAAATGCGAAGGAGAAAATCGAGAGAAAAGAGATGCTTGCGCGGATCGCTTAAAGAGACTCGCGATCGGAGAAGTAAGAACGGACGGACATGGTAGACAAAAGGAAGAAGAGGAAGGATAAAAGAGACAGAAAGAGAGAAACTACGCTGCGTCGGTTCGGCTTCGTCCACCGTTCGAACAACGCGACCGTAGATGCAATGCCTACGCGAATGGACCATCAGTCACCAGATAATCTGTACCTCCTTGGAATATTGACAATGACAAAGGGGCCCGCGATAGACGCGCGTGAGCTGCTCACCGGCAGGCCTGCTACCTGCTACCCATAAGGCCCCGCGCGGTTTGCCTCGAGCGCAATCTTAACCGTGCGTGCGCTACGCTCTCTCTCTCTCTCTCTCTCTCTCTCTCTCTCTCTCTCTCTCTCTCTCTCTCTCTGTCTACTCTTTTGCCTCGTCAGCGAACCGACCCTGCTCTCGTCCTCGTTTCATCTCGGTTAATTTCCCTCTATCGCTTTTTCCGGGCGCCCTCGCTCGTCTTGGCCGCGCGTAGCTTATCAATCATTTTCTTCTTCTTCTTCTTCTTCTTCTTCTTCTTCTTCTTCTTCTTCTTCTGCTTCTTCCACTTCTTCCGCTTCGTCTCCCTCCTCCTGCTCCTACTCCGCTTTCTTCTCCTCACCTTCGTCTTCTTTCGTTGCATTACAGCAGTCGTAGGCACTTTATAATCAGATTGCGCGGCTCGTTTCATCGCTGTCAGCAAAAAATCTCAAATCTGCGTGTGTTCTCGTACACGCATGTAAGACGCATGTAGTGTTTTTTAATCGTCAGTTGCTACGACGAGGTTCGGTTTCACAAACGATAAATGCGAGAATGCATTTGAAGAATCGATCCTCGGAAGGGAAACGGCGAATGTATGATGATGTACGATAATGTTACACTTCGCGCCGACGATACCTCGCAGTCCGCAATTTTCTCGCATTCGAGCGACGATACAAGCTCCGAACGCAAATACAAGCACAGAGGCACAAATTAAAATGCTTCGAGTATGCGCTCCGCCGCGCAGGAGCAATACAGCATACTCCGTACGTACGTACGTAGAAGAAGGGTGTAACGTCCTTCATTGGAAACGCATCTATCTCCTCCGGTAGCTACCGGCACTGACGTTCTAATGTCTCACGCGCGCGCGCTCCTTCGCTCGCAACAGCCGGCCTATGACGTCTATCAGATATCCAACCCGTATCTAGCCAGGTCGGACATATCTTAGCGTCGGATCTTAGCACGAAAGCCCGCTCGACCACCAGAAGCCCGAAGGATAACGGCCGTGGCTTACGACCGAGCGAAGATTAATCGTACCGACGATGGACGGGGCTCCTGTTTTGGAAAATATAAGAGATCAACAAGGGGTGTCGGATGTTTGGCGCGGCGCGGCGCGGCGCGACGCGACGGCGACGGCACGAATCATTCCGATCGGAGAGAGAGAGAGAGAGAGAGAGAGAGAGAGAGAGAGGTTCAAAGTTCCGATCATTTTTCAAGCTCGGGTCGCGCACAGAAAGTCGCGTAACAACAACAACAACAGGAACTCTCTCACCCTCCGGAGCTCGGCGAACGCATGACGATAACAAGTATTTCACGCGGAGAGGACCGTTGTTCCGACGCGACGGCGGAAGCGGGACGCGAACGTTTGTATCCGGCGTAGGATACAACTCGTGTGTAACCGTAATTAAAGAACGTAAGCAAGAAGATAAATGTCGGGCGGTAAGAAGCTCGGGCGAAAACGCTTCGGGAAGAACAGGAAATTCATCGATACCTGGCACCTGTGGCACGTACGGACGTACGGCAACTAGACTCCTGTGAAAGGTGGCGGGGCCCGATATAGCTCCTCCGTGTCGTGCACGGTCAAGTCGTTTACGCGACAGGATATTATTCATCTCCCCTCGCGTGGGTGACGCGAGACGCAAGAAATGTGTGTCCTTGTGTGATCATCGAGTCGCAATTATTTATTACCGATTTATACATATTATTACGGCCTATCCTTGTTGCCGTTCAGGAGTCGTTGTCGAGAGAGCTTCCGCGATGTTCCGAATCGTTTCCTCAGCTAGCAATACTTTTGTGTTTGATTGCACATCGTGTGAATCCTCCGTAAGAAATCAGCAACCGCGATCGCAGCGATTCTCGATATTACGCGTTACGCATCAGCGAAAGCTTGTCGCCGTTGTGTCGAAAAGTTGGAAGGTTGGCAAGCAGCTCCCACGTAGATCTAGATGAACGCGAGACGAGCCACGAATACGAAGTGAGAAACGTCCAACTTTTGCGGTGACGAGAAATGTGAGACGCGGAAGAGAAGAGGAGCGTGCCTTCGCCTTCGTCGACGACGAAGCGGACGAAGCTGAGAGAGGGCGGATGCGGCAGAGAGGGCGATTCTCGGCGCGGATAGTACGGAGGAGGCTCAGAGTAAGACTTCTCCTGTGCCGATGAACAGTCGTGACCGAGAGAGAGAGAGAGAGAGAGAGGGGGGGGGGGAGAGAGAGAGAGAGAGAGAGAGAGAGGAAGAACCCGTTCGAACGAGAGTTTATATACCGCGTATAGCTCAGGGCAAGGCTGTGGCAGCCTCGCGATACCGTCTCATGTGAACAGGTTGAGAGACTTCCAGGAGTCTGCGATGCAGAACAAACGATTCCTTTTCTCGTACCCCCCCGGTGTACGACCGATTAGAGCATCGTGCGAGTCTCAGTAATTGCTCGTGGCGATTTCTAGTCTCTGGGAGCGAGGGAAAGATTATTGGACTTTGGTAAGCGTATTTATTTCTCGGTCACGTTAACGCCAGGGATCGATTTGCTCCCCGATCTACGCGTCGAGAAGAGGTACAAGTAAGAGGATGTCGTTGATTTTCTCCATTTTTCTGTTTTTTTTTTCGGCAATTAGTAGAATAAGATTGTTGAAAATGAGACTTTGAAATTCTGCCGATAGAAAGATAATTTGGAGGATAACTCATTGATTCGCGGTTGTTTCAAAAGAGTGGTCGTGTCTCAAAGGGATTACCCTTTACGAAAGAAGAAAGAGAAAGATCGATCGAATGTACGGTGAAGTATCACACAATCGTGCAATGTCTTTGTCCGTCTCTCCGTCCCGCCGCGTTTCACCCTCGCTATAAGCGCGATGTTTATTCACTGCGAGTACGAGTAGAGGAAAATAAAGAACGGAATCAAATGACGATCGAATACGAACGATTGCGCGCGCGCGCGGTTGTCATCGAAGTGGCCAACTCCCTTCGGGGAAAGAGCGTCGGATGCCGCGAGCGAGACGAGCGAGGGCTAAGTTACACGTTACACCGGTGGGGCCCCTGGGGCTCCATTACGGGCGCTACCTCGTCGTTGGCGATATTACCGCAAATTGCCACCCTCAAAAGAGGAACGGCCCCGGCTCCACCGTTGCTGGAGCCACGGAGTCGGGCCGATTGCTCGGTGCATCGCGCTGCGTCTCGCAACGTCGGTTTTACAACTGGAGTCCCCTCTAGTCCCCTCGAACCACCATCCCTACCCTCTCGCCCCCCCTCCCCCGCTTGCATGGGGCCCGCGTACACCTTCTCTCCTCCCGCGTCTTTCACTCCCACCATACGCCTGTCCGCGGCGTGTGTAATACTGTAATCGGGCAATTTCGGGGCTTCTCGTCCGAATAAATCCATGGTTAATGCCTCCGTTGGCTCCCCTCGCCTCTTTTCTCCCCTGCAGGCATCTTTCTCTCCTCTTCTCTCCTCTCCTCTTCTCTCCTCTCCTCTTCTCTTCTTCTCCTCCGTGTCTTCGCTACATTCGCCACCACCAGCACCACCACCGTCTTCTCCTCCTTGGCATCCTTCTCTCTCCTCGCGCGCTCCAAGTACGCTCAAAGTCGAATATATATATATATATATATATATAAATATAGAGAGTGGGAGAAGGAGAGAGAGAGAGAGAGAGAGAGAGAGAGAGAGAGAGAGAAAAGAAAAAAGAGAAATTGACTTCTATCCGAGCACTCGAAGGTTCGCGTGCGGCTAAGTGGACCCCGAGAAAAGAGGCTCCGAAAGAAGAAAGAAGAAGAAGGAGGAGGTGGTGGTGGTGGTGGAGGAGGAGGAGGAGAAGGAGGAGGAGGAGGAGGAGGAGGAGGTGGTGGTGATGGTGGTGGTGGTAGTAGTTGGTGGTGATGGAGAAGGAGAAAGAGGAGACTGAAGGTAAGAGAGGGGCATACAACACCATCCACTACCTTTTACCTCAGCCATCCTTTCGCCTCACCCACCTGTCTGCCGGCAATCTTCTAGTAGCCTTGGGCTACCACTCCGCGGCTACCAGAGGGGCTACTCTTCGGCTACCAACGTCCGGTCCTGGTTTCACTCGCGGTGCAGTAACCCTTCTGCATGTCCGTCAAGGATACTTTAAGACGAGCCATGCGGTTCCCGCGCGCGCGATCTTCTTTTTACTTTGGGACTTTGGGTTCCGACAAATTAGGCCGGCTCGATCGCGAGGATTTCGCGTGTTCCAATTTCACGAGCATTTTACCAGTGAGTTCTCCATCGCGATCGAATACGCGAACGGAAATTCCCGCAAGGAAGTGAACTGACAATTTCGTTATTATTCCCTTGCGAACCTGTGCATGTGCGCAATTTAATTTTTCAACACCAAAGAGTATCACCAAAGAAAAGCGTACAATTTCTGCTGCTACGAAACGCATCACGTCAGTTTAACGTGCCGAAAATCATATCGTTTTGCTCCGATTGACAAAGCTCAACTTCACTATCGGAAAACGCCCTCGGAAAGCGCACATGTGAAAAGAAATCGTATTTGCAGCAACGACAAGATTTAAGTGGCATTATACTCTCGGCTGTGTGTATTAACTTGCGTCGCGTATTCATTAACTACTACGATGAATCCAACCGATGACAAGCGAGTTTTTAGAGAGTCGTTAGGGCGCAAAGACTGAGCCAAGAACGGGCGTGTTTTACAGTTGACGGGAGTGACGAGGGTGGGGAAGGAAGACGTACGATTATGCATTTCTGTCACTCGTAGCGTCTCACCTTTCACCCCCGCCTATTACCCGTTGCTGCGCTCACCTGTGTTGGCCCAAGGGGGAATATCGCGTGGCCGAAGAAGACACTCGGCCTGACGAAGACGAAGTTCACAGGCTGTATCACTTAACCTCCGTTCGTAGAACGTTCGTAGAAGAAAAGAATATCAAAGAGATTTAAAGAGACAAATTAAATAAAAACTTAATTTTTTAATATTGCGTACGTAAAACAAAAATTGACGAGTGTTTTCGTCTTTCCCAATGCGATGTGCACGGTTCGGATGTATTTTTGAAAGTACGCACGTCGCTGTGATACCGTTCGCCTGCCTGTCTGTCGAGAGACGAGGTTTCTGGTGCAACTTTTTGCCGGTTCGCTTGAGCAAGAATTTCCTTCACGAATTTCTTTACGGCTGCCGGCAAAAGATCATCGGGCGAACCGCCGCGCAAGTGCCCACGCTTTTTCTTACCTTCTGCTTCCTCAGCGGGCTACCCTAATTTTCGCGTATGAGCTGCCGGATTCGCCCCGGCATCCGAGATGGTCGCAGGTGATCCACCTGCCTACGCAGAAGCTGGTTCGCCTTTTACGCCCGTTCGAAAAATACCACGGCAAAAAAGCGACTCTCCGGGAAGACGGGATAACCGTTGCTTTGCTGCGGATGTTGCCGCTGTTATCGTCATGGCAATCTTCCTCGGCGAATTGTAGGAACATATTTACGAGTATCCGAGACCTAAATAAAAATGAAGTTATCTAAATTCGTCGATTTATTCGGGCGGAAACGATCCGCTGAGATCGATCGTATGATCGAATCAGACAATTTCCAATATTAAATTACGTCATGAAAAACAGTCGTGTGTCATTTCATCGACCTGCCTGTTTCCTGCAATGTCAATTACCCGCATCTCCATCACGATGCGAGTACATTGACGCCTATCAATAGTATCCAACTAATTGACAAATATATTTTTTGTTTCAGATCTGAGAAGGAGAGGGAGCTTGTGGCCACACGGTGGAGGCGATGGATCCGGAGATGCAGTTTCGGTGGATGTTGATGCTGTGCCGGAGAATCCGGTTCGAGCCGACAAGGGTTATAGAGAGAGAGAGAGAGAGAGAGAGAGAGAGAGAGAGAAAAGTGACTCATTTTACGAACAAATTCTCGATTATCGATACCAGTCATGTCTTGGTTTTGTTTTTCCAATTATGCCATAAACAAGACATTTCAATTCGATACGAGTAAACGTACTCCTCCTCCGTCGGGGTGCGACACAGAACAAAGCTTTACAAAGCGACTCTTTTAATTTAACCACCAGCGATCTCGCGTGTGTAACACGCGAGAATGTTGGCTGACAAGCCAACGTAAATACGCGATCGCGTTAACGGCGTACCAACGGCAGTTTTTGTCATCGCGCATCCACGAAGATGCCACCGTAGAAAAAGGGAAAAATTTACATTCGCGCGCGCGCGCGCTCGCTCGGTGCCTTACCAGGCAGCCTCGACCGATTTGAATCCAATTAACACTCCGGAACGAGCGGAGCGTCGCGCAGCGAGTCTAATTAAGGAAGACCAATTACACGACCGCGATGATCTCGCAATTAGTCGGCAACTGCCACGGGGAGAAAAAGGAGGAGGAGAGAGGGGAGGGGAGGGGAGAGAAAGAGAGAAGGAGAAAGGGTGAAAGCGAGAGGACATCGGGACGTTCAGAAGGGCAATCGGGATCTTCTTTCGCAGCGGGACGTGCGACGAATCACAGCTTCATCTCGGCGCAATCTAATTGGTCGGAATACTCGCTCACTAATTAAGCATTCGACTAATTATTAATTACATCGACGCGACCGCTCGAATTAATTCGCCTGGCGGCGGGGTGCCGGCGCGCCGCGGGGCATATTAACCGCGCATAAATATCGCATTTAATGCGCGCGTGCAGGTCGCGCGACAGCCGAGCATACACCGCGGGCATGAGCTACAAGAACGTGCTTCTCCGTCGAGGAGGAGCAGCCCAGGAGGAGTCCCGTGTTAGTAGATCGTAGTACACAAGTGCGCGTCCGAGAAGTATCGTCCGTTCGTCCGGCTACGGCCTACCGATTTATCTACTCTTTCAGCCGCGACGCGGCCGAATGAAGCAACTATTTCGCGCGAGCGCGCTCGCGCGGTAAACGCGCGTTCTCTACTCTTCCCTTCTCTTTAACTACGAAGCGTACCCGGGTTGAATCGGAAGCGGGTTCGAAATGCTTCGAAATGCCGTACGACGTGCGATACGCCGCACTCTCTGGCGTAGAAGGCGAATCTTAATTTGCCTTGAGACTTGGATCATCATTTCGATACGTCGAGGAGATGGACGCGCCGACTCTCTCTCTCTCTCTCTCTCTCTCTCTCTCTCTCTCTCTCTCTCTCTCTCTCTGTCTCTCGATCGATCGATCTCCGTCGCTTGCACGACGCGCGCGTATCCTACATCTAAAGAAAAGAGAAAAGAGTACCATTTATATCCTCTCTTACATAGCATGTGTGCGATAGAAAATCACTTGCTTTGAATGTTTCGCGTAAGAACTGTAATTTGTCGCGCGATTCGCGTAATTTGCACTATAAACATACGTCGAGCGTCGTTTCGCGCGGACGTGAATTTATAGCGGCAAATTACTTGTATCGAACGCACAAACTATTCTAATCTTCGCGATTAAGGTAGCATCGCTAACCCGGCATAGATGGCATACGCGACGGTAGCTATTGCGTGCCGTGAATGATGAACAAGTTGCGAAGGCAACGGTTTACACGCGATTTATATACGGCGCTCGGATACGCTCGACACCCGAGGGCTACAAGATTGTCATTTCGATCCGTCTACGTGGCGATTCGACGCGTACGCGTCGATATTTATCGTGGAAACTTTGTTAGAAGGTTTTCGAGTGCGATTTTACATACATACGCACCGATGGTCGCTCGCGCGCGCGCGAGGAGGATTTATCGAGAGATACCAGTGATTTATTCCGCCAGCAGTTGAGAAGCGCTCTTGAAACGTCAGCGTTCCCATGTAACGACTCTTAACTTCATTTCTCATACTTCATTTACTTCCCGACGATGTCGGCCGACAAGAGAGACGGGATCTTCCGTCGTCTATATAATGATGATAACGTGCACTCTCGGAATCCTCGGGAATGAATCCCGTCGGCGGAAAGACGAGTGCTCACGAGGATACGAAACGCACAGTGACACTTGTATCGCACAGCAATCGAAGTTTGTTTACGTTATAAATTTCGAACTTGAAATTAAGTTCAATTTTAAGCGCGAGTTCAAAGTATAATGGCAGAGAAGGAGAAATTCCAGCCTCTGTAACTTTCGATTTATACACAACATGACAGAAACGTCGTGGAATAGCGTGGCTCCGTGGCTTGAGATGTAAAAGTAGGCCAATTTAGGCGATTTAATTACCATTGAATTCGATCGTCAACTAAGCTCTCGTGCTTAACAAAAGTCAACGAAAATCGACACTTTAATCGAGTGCTAAAGCGTTTTGCGGTAAAACAAACGGGTAATTCGTGAAAGACATCGGATCTTCTGTACGTGACAAGTATGATCAGAGGGTGATGCGCGCGAGTAAACACACACACACACAAATTGTAGGCTCCGATATCATGTACACTCGACTTTTATCTGATGACTTTTATTTTATGAGAAATGAGCATGCGGCTTTTCACACATTTCTATCAATTGCGATCGGGCAAATCAACATCGCGTGCGCGCATCATCGATACTTGTACTTGAAATATCGACGGCAATCGCAGGATTGGCGCTTGGTCGTGAAGTCGATCTCCGTCCTCGAGAGAAGCTCGCGGAGGGCTCGCAAGAGAAGAAGGAACACCGCTATATATCTGCTTTCGATTTATCCACTTTGTCCGATTCGCGTTCGGTCTTGCGTCTTGAAGAGTCGCGAAGCATGTTTAAAGTATCGTCGGGGCGTAGGTGCAGGTGCAACGCGCGAGTACACGCACGGGCTCGCAATTTATCTCAACGAGCGGTCAACATACGCACGCACGCACGCACGCACGCACGCACGCACGCACGCACGCACGCACGCTTTCGTTCGTAGATATCATTTATGGTTATGAATCGCCGCCGTTTATAAGTTTGGTGGTACCTTGACCGACTACAAGTACCGCTTGTCGCGCAGTGAGTATATCATTAGCAGTTTTATAACTGCGCCAGTTATTAATAACCTGAGGAGCGAAGGTGTACCCTACGCGTACACACAGATGCACACACACTCTCTCTCTCTCTCTCTCTCTCTCTCTCTCTTATTTGCGCGGGCGCACGCACGAATGCGTACCGGTTATTAATTTCAAACGGCTCGCGAGTGCTTTACTCGCGAGTACTTCTGGATCGACGGGATACTCCGAGTGTATCGATCTTAATGGAGCTCGTTTTATAAAACGCCGGATTTTTGCATGCGCGGAACGAAAGTGCAAACGAGTAGTCGCGCCGCGCGTCGGATTACGCCTTCTCGCCTCTCGAGTGGATGATTGACTTTTCATTATAGCGCGTGGATATACGCGGGCGCTCGCGCCCGCATCGCCCGTATTGCATCAGTCTGAAATTGGTACCTCTCCGGCCGCGAGGACTAAACATTGAGCGATCATTTCCGCCGAATGACGTGTCGGGCAGCACCCGATGTCGGATTTTCGATTATCGGACCGTCGGATCGCCGACGCGCGCCGCGCTCGATCTATCGAGTAGCGAAAATGTTTCACGCTAGCGCTAGACCAATCGCTATCGGTGCGCGATTGCCCCGTCGTCGTCGTCGTCGTCGTCGTCGTCGTCGTTATAACACGGCCGGCGAGTCAGCCGACCGATCAATCTTGACGTGTTCCCCGTCTCTTCATCTTGTCCCGAGTATTTCCGCTTTGTGCACACGCGTGTGACGTCGCACGGTGAAACACCAGAGATTATGTAGATACGCGGCGTACGCGGGACACACAGGGTGGGACGCGCACATGTCTACACGTTTACGTAACGGATGTAATGTCAAACTGCTGGAGATGTGAATTTTTCAACGGAAAAATGAGGCGAGCTTCGATAAGTAAAAGAAACGATATACTACCCACCCAGCCAGTGTAATTGCGTTGCGCGCAGTGTTTTCGCATCCTTATATATCTTGTGTGACACTGATCACGCGATCGACGTGAAATGTCGCGAGGCCGCAATCGATCGAGCTCGGCCGAGTGTCTGAAACGGTCGTCTGAAACGGTTCGTCAAAATTGTCGTAGTACGAGTTACAAGTGGAAAAAGAGCCTCCGCGCGGGAGTGGCCGCGAACCGCGGACGAAGGAGTAGAAGCGATGTGAAGAAAGAAGAAGAATACGAATACGCGAAAGGCGCGGGGACGAGGAGAAAATGGAGGAAGGGACGATGTGCGTGCGTGCGTGCGTGCGTGCATGCCGCTCACGTAGCGTGCCAGCCAGCGAGCCAGCCTGGCAGCCTGCTGGACTCCCTTCGGCCTCCTCTTCCTCTTCCCTCGCTAGTAAAAGTGAGGCCCCGTTTCTCTCTCTCTCTCTCTCTCTCTTCTTCGGTCTCCTTTGGTCTCTCGGCCTCCGTCTTTCGCCCGTTTCGTCCGCCTTTTTTCCCTTCTTTCTGAGGAAGAGAGCGACGCGGGGCCATTCGCGGGGGGAGAGAGAGAGAGAGAGAGAGAGAGAGAGAGAGAGAGAGGAGACGGGTATCTCCCTTTTTATCAAACTGCAGCCTCTTACCTGGAGCACTCCCACCCACGGCCCCACCTGCGGCTGGATAGGCATTGCAACAGGTGAGCCGACTACCGAGAACGCCACTCGTCCCCGCGACCTTAAAGCCGTATCGTGCGACAGGATTTTCCCGCGGGACGCACGAACCAGGAGGCAGGACGATCGACGGACGATCGAGTGTGAACACCAACCGGTCGTTCGAGGGGAGGGGGTGGTACGTAGTTGCATACCGACGCGCGACAAAATATTAAGAGATTGTTCTCCCTTTTTCTTTCTTATCATAAGAGTATGATTGTGTGTGTGTGTGTGTGTGTAGGGGTGTAATCACCCAATTACTATTGACACGCGAGATACTATGTGTT